TGCTGTTCAAGGAGAGGGAAGGAGACGTAAAGGAGGAGAAACACTGGACCAAATATACTTTCTAGAAAAGTTAACAATAAAGTAGCTGTCTATGTGGCTCTATCTAGGAAAGAATAGTTAAGCAGACAAGCTATGAGTCAGATTTCATGCCAGAAATTATGAGAGCACATATAATCACCATAAAAGCTGAGCCCATAGCTATGTCTAGTAGAGAAACAGAACAAAGCACTGGAAAACAGGCCCACATCTATCATCTGTAATCAAAGGTGTTGTTGGGAGCAGATCAACTGATATCTCTTTCCAGGATGGTGTCAAAGTCAAACAGATCAGATGAAGCTACAATGATGGGAAAATGCAGAGGGAACATAAGCCCCATTTACACTACCTTTTTTAACTGTGCCGAGACCAGTCAGAGCACAGTAACCAAGATAACTGTTGATTGTGAATGGCTCACACAACCAAAACACGCTAACCTGGTACTGGTTCATCAGTAGGGCTTGGCGCAGTTCAGGTCTGGCTCAGTACTCGGATAACAAAGGGAGCATGAGCAGACCATGTCAACTCCTTACAGTCAGCCTCCGAAATCATAAAACTTCTGTCAAAAAAATACTAGCTTCCCTACCGTGACACACGTTTTCCAGTGATGATTCTGCTCAGCAGTGAGATGAAACTCAACATCTGTTTAGGCTACTGTTTGTCATATCCAATTCCCAAAAGCCGAATCTGTCAGGTAAAAATTCAACAAAGGCTGCCTTCTTCGTCTGCTTCCCGAAACCAATGAAATATCATAATTATAACCAAACTTCCTGAATGTTATGCATGCCGCCATTTTTATTTCCTTGTTTTCCTCTAGAGAGCAGTAGTACTGTCACGAGGAGGTGAGGAACTGTGCTAGCGTGGTGTGTAAATGGTCGCAAGGAACCAAGCTCGGAACGGTTACAGTAACTGATCCAAGCTCGGCACAGTTCGGTTTTCAGAGGTATTGTAAATAGAGCTATACAGTAAGGGCTTAGACGAACAAAAACTGCAGAATTAGAGAGTAGAGAGAGACTGAATCAGGATGATGAAAACTGATCCCTATGTCCTCCAGCAGCCTAAGTCTATAGCAGCATATGGGCCTACAAATGTTAACATTTAAAAATTAAATCCAACATCATGGATCAAGGGAAGCATTAACCTAGGCATACACTGCACGATTTTTTTGCCCTTTTCGGGCAGATTCTCCAGTTGTGCAAGAACTTTTTGGATTTGGCCGAGTTTCAACCTCATGATGTGTGCTGCGTTTTGNAAAACCTGCAGCCAAACGGCCCTTTCTGGAAGCAGTTTGACATCCCTGTTCTAGATTTTTCCCACCTCACCTGTTTCTTGTCAGCTCATTAGTCCAGTCTTTGTTCTGTCTCCTATATATACGCTCCCTGTCTAGTAGGAAGCAAAGGGGAAAGGAAACAAACACAAGGCGGAACAGAGAGTGACTCAAGAACAAAACACTGCTAGTAAACAACTACAAATACAAAGAAACTAAAAATAAACTTAAACAGAGGGCAGAACCCTGACAGTTGGAGAGGTCTTATTCTTTACTGTACATATGTTTTACTTTAAATACCTAAGTACAAAACTTTAGCATGCAAAGAAAACCATGGTTTATTTAATTGCCTTTTACATAACTCTCCTGTCATGAGACCACAAAACAACCTCCTCTCTATTAAGTCTGATCACACTGAGCATGTCTTGCACACTTTTAGTTAAATTGTGTTTATTTGTATAGTGCCAATTCACAACAGGGAAACCAGCAGACTGTGCAGGTTTCCTTTGACTGTGCAGGATTCACTCATTAGGATTAGGATGTGGCAACAGTAGATGTTAATTTTTGTTGTTGACTCTACAGGCTGGATAGTGACATAGTTAGTAGCACTGTTGGCTTTCAGCAAGAAGTGTGTATGATGGTTGTATGTCTTTGTGTCTCTCTGTGTTGCCCTGTGACAAATTGACAACCTGTCCTGGGTGTACCCCACCTTACGCACATAGACTGCAAAAATAAGCAGGAGAAGGTGGCCGCTCACACTGAGCCTGGTTCTGCTGGAGGTTTCTTCCTGTTAAAAGGGAGTTTTTCCCTCTCCACTGTCGCTACGAGCATGCTTAGTGTGAGGGATTGAATTTGAGTCAATGCAATCAATTGGTTTTCCTTAGATAGGGGAGTTTGAATCAATTTGACTGTATGATCTGGTTGAACTGTATAGTGCCTTGAGATGACATGTGTTGTGAATTGGCGCTATATAAATAAGCTGAATTGAAATTGAATTGAATTGAATAGAAGATGGATGGGTGGATGAATAGATGGATTAATGGATGTTGCTATACACCAATCCACAACAAGCATACATTAGCAACAGGGAAACCAAATTTTAACAGCAACAGATCTCCAGTGAGGCTCTGTGTGAGCATCGTCTGCTGTTCAAGAAGAGGGAAGGAGACGTAAAGGAGGAGAAACACTGGACCAAATATACTTTCTAGAAAGGT